GACACCCTCGACATGTCCCTCTTCTTCGGGACCCCCTCCCAGAAGCAAGACTTCTGCGACTCCCTCCTCCGCCTCCTCAAGAAGCGCGGCGGCGTCAAGTTAATCAACCACCCCATCCCCTCCGCCGCCATCCACGAGCTCTTCGCCCAAACAAAGCGCTTCTTCAACCTCCCCCTCGAGACAAAAATGCTCGCCAAGCACCCTCCCCAGGCAAACCCCAACCGCGGGTACTCCTTCGTCGGCCAGGAAAATGTCGCCAATATTAGTGGTTACGAGAAGGGCCTTGGACCGCTAAAGACTCGCGATATCAAGGAGACTGTGGATTTTGGATCGGCGACTGATGAGCTTGTTGATAACCTTTGGGTTCCGGAGGAGGAGTTGCCTGGGTTTAGAGGGTTTATGGAGGGGTTTTATGAGATGGCTTTCAAGACGGAGATGCAGCTTCTTGAGGCGCTTGCTATTGCTCTTGGCGTTTCTCCTGATCACCTGAAAGCGCTGCATAACCGCGCTGAGAATGAGTTCCGGATCTTGCACTACCCTGCTATTCCTGCTTCAGAACTCGCAGACGGAACAGCAACCCGCATCGCTGAGCATACTGATTTCGGTACCATCACCATGCTCTTCCAAGACTCTGTCGGCGGTCTTCAAGTCGAGGACCAAGAAAACCTCGGAACATTCAATAATGTCGAGTCAGCTTCTCCCACTGACATCATCCTCAACATCGGTGATTCTCTGCAGCGCTTAACGAACGATACTTTCAAGGCTGCGTGCCATCGCGTTACGTATCCTCCTTCTATCAAGGCTGGTGACGGCGAGCAGGTCATTCCGGAGAGATACTCTATCGCTTACTTTGCGAAGCCCAACCGAAGTGCGTCTCTGTTCCCGCTAAAGGAGTTTATTGAGGAGGGTGTTCCTTGTAAATATGAGGATGTTACTGCCTGGGAGTGGAATAACCGCCGCATTGAGAAGTTGTTCTCTGCTGAGGCTAAGGTTTAAAATGGGAGATGGGATCCAAATTGATAGTTTATAGCATAGCGGAATTTTATTTACTATAGTGTTCTCTAAGTCTCGGTTGTCTGCATCATCGTGATTCCACTGATCGAAACAAGGTTTGTTGCCTTTTGGCTCTTACAGACTGCCAGTTATGCTCTGGAACTCTACCTCCTCTATTTTGAACTTGCATCATTGCATACTCACAATTCCTCAATACTTGAAGTATTTGATGCCCATTGTAAGATAAGAGGCTGATCCAAATCATGTCTGGGTACCCACAACTTGCAACCGACTGACGCCCTTTGTCTTGTCTTGTCCAAATCTCCACCAAAAATGCCACTATTGCCCATCACGCGGAGAAACAATCTCGAAGCCTCAAGCCTCACACTAGAACACCTTAGCTCCCTCTCCCAACCTATCAAACACTCCCAATTCACTTCCTAGGTTCTAATTCGCCAATCCCCGTCGCACTCGCCGATAAGCCCCCTCCCAAAAAAGCAAGCAATCCCGATCCCCTTCCTCTTAAGACAAACCCTCACTCCCCATCTTCATAATGAATTAGTATCAACTCAAACGAATTAGTATGTCCAACACCAAATCCAGACGAACGCACTCTTTTGGCGGGTGCAAGACATGTCGGAAACGTCATCTCAAATGTGATCAGTCTCTTCCGCGGTGTAATCGCTGTAAGCAGGCGGGACTGAACTGTGAGGGTTTCACGCCGGCGCTGAGATGGTTGGTTTCGACGGGGAGGGAGGTTTATGATAGGCAGCCTACGCAGATTGCTGATGTTGGGGCTGAGCAGTATTCGAGGAGACATTTGTTTACTGGTAAGTGAATCGAGTGTGTTGTATAATGGGCTAGGCTAATTTTGTAGAGGAGGATAGGGAGCTTATGAGCAACGCTCTTGTTACGAATGTCCCATCGACGGTGACGGCTGCTCTGAACCAGATTGATGAAGAGTCCAAAGGGTTGGATGTTAAAGATGACGCAGCGAATACTTGCGAAGTTGGTCCTTTTCAGGTCTTCAAGTTCGAAACAAGTCAGTCCGCCACAACGCCTTCAGACCATGTCTCATTCAACGACATGGATCTCGACACTCTTTCGGAAAACCAAACACAAGACTTCTCAGAAACCATCGAAAACGATCAAATAGCCTCCAACGACTTCTCAACAACGTCCCTCGACTTTCTGCACTGGGGTGATTTATTCACCTGGGATGTCAGCGTTCTCGACAATCCGCCTCAACTCCCATTCGACAACTTCAACACTTTGCCCATGAATCTAAATTGGCCTAATGAATCCAACATGGGCTTCTCTGGATCTTTAGACATGATGCCTTTTGAAACGGCGAGCGATGACGTTGCGTGGCCACAGCTTGATCTCATGATGGACGCACCTCTACTTCTAAAGCACTTCAACGACGACGTCATCAGCCAGATGGGTTCTCTCCCCATCAACGAAAAGTCAGCTTGGAAGACTCTTCACTATCCATCTGCTATAATGACACTGAGCGAGTTGACAATGTTGGATGTGGATAAAGATCAGATCAAGCGTGCTAACCTGGCTACCTTTTACGCTCTGATAGCTGTTTCGTCATTCCATCTGTCGCTCAACTCCATCACGTTCCCGAATCTAGCTCGGCCTGGCGATCATTGGAAATCGCTGTCAAGTCGGACCTATGAAGCTGCTAAACAACATCTCAAAGTCAGCCTTGAAAAGGAATCGCAGCCTGGGCCGCACAAGGCGAAGTACAAGGAGCAGTTGATGGGTATAAGTGCCGTGTTAGCAACAGCAGTACGTTCTCCTACTACCATACACTCCTACATAGACTAACCATCATAGCTTCTCTCCGGCAACGAAACAGACACTCGCTGGTGTCTCACAGAAATGGAACGCCTCATAAGCTGGCGCGGCCTCACCAAACCAAGTATATCCCGCCGCGCCCGCCTCCTCCACAACATCTACGCCTGGATGCGCATCGTCTCCGAGAGTCTAAACGTATACCTCGACGAGAACCACGCCATTGAAACACCCTTCCGCACCACAACCTCTCGCTCCATCAATCCCGACATGACACTCGACAACTTCCTGCATCTTGAACCCCGAAAACTCCACGGTCAGAAGACGAAACGCGATATTAAAGACATTCACCTCGCAGATGCATCGCAGGATCATGAGAACATGTATATGCAGATCTACGGCGTTCCAGAGACGTGGCTCAGTCTGGTGTCGCAAATAACACGCCTTGCCAACGTAATGGATCGTCTGTCCGCTTCTAAAAAGTCCGATGCAGAAGCGCTCATGGCATTACAGCCGCGTGCTTCATACCTAGAAAACGCAGTCTGTCTTTTCCGCTCCCGCCACAACGAGGGCACAGCCATGAGCGCCAGTCCCAGCGCCCCAGGCGGAACACCACATATGCACATGGTACGCGCCCTCGCCTCCGCGCTGGTGATATTCTTCTACCGTCGTATTCGCAATGTAAATCCCCTGGTTCTACAAGATAGTGTCAATGATGTTGTTGAGTCGTTGCACGCGTTTGATGAGGCGCTGGAGAGGAATAATCTGCTTGGGCCGGGGACGGCGTGGCCCGCGTTTATAGCGGGGGCGGAGGCGAGTGCGAGACAGAGAAGGGACATAGAGGAGTGGTTGGATAAAGGGTTTGGGAGGAGTGGGTTTGAGAGTTATAGGGCGTCGAAGGAGGTGTTGGTGGAGGTTTGGAGGCGGAGGGATGAGGCAGAGGGGATGCCGTCTGGGGATGTTTGTACATGGATGGAGGTTTGTAGGGATTTACGTCGGTGGCCGTTGGTGTCTTAGTTACGCGGTAATGATTACGAAGTCATGCAATTTGTGTCAAAGACGTATCGATTGAGACTATTACTTGGTTTCGAACTGTTGCTCTCAGCCTCGGAGCGATACTCTCTTGCAAGTTACATGTTGCCCAATGTCCCCCTAGGAGCAGCTGGCCCTTTTTGCGTCGATCATGGCTATCGAAAAACAGTCGCAAATGAGCCCACAAATAATAAGCTTCGTTCAACAATTCATCGGCCAATATGGAGGTTTTGATAAACTTTGGGGTATGTCTGAGCATTGTAATGGAAGTCTAGCTTCCGGATGTTCAATGAGATCAGATCTGTTGCCACTTCCAAATTTTCTTCGTTTCATAATTGGACGCTCAGTCGCTTTGGTGATAGGATTTTCATCAATGGATTGGCTCAAGTCGTGATGATCAGGCAATGGCATCAACGAAAGACTCTTTGCATTTTGCGGTAAGTCAGATGGTCTGCACGGACAGCATTGGTAGACATATCGCTGGCAGCTTTTAGGGTCGATCACCTCGAAGCAGTCAGCAGATAAGCCTGAGTTGCAGACATTGGTAATCTTCGGTGGCCATTCCCCTGACGACAGTTTATTATGGCCTTTGATACATGGCTTCGAACCATTAAAGGGGCTATTGATATAGTATCGAGTTACCCCAACACTACTGCCATTAATCTTGCTTTAAATTTTGGATGCTTTATATACCAGGTCTTGCAATACCAGCTATTGGAGCAGCATTACTAAGGCTGACCCGTAAGCGTCAAGCATTAACGAGCGATCCTAAGTTCCGCCCTCAGCCCACTCGGATCCCAGATGAGAAGAATTCTAAGACAGATTTAGAACAATAGAGAATAAGTTTAGCAAGCTGTTGTTGAACTTTTCAGCTTCAAAAGAGCTTGTAAAGGTTATTAACTATTATCCCCAGCTTGTCTTCTTATCAGCCTATTTAACTTAAGTAGGTAAACTGTATTTAATATTATAGATAGATTAAGTAAGAAGTCTAACTATTTATTTATTAATTAAATATTATCATTTATTAATATTAATATCTTTATATTAGTAATTAGTATCTATTTAGTAAAGAGGATAGCTGCTAGGATGTAAAAATTAAAAATCGGCAAGTGCAATAACGCAGGTCGCTACTAATTGGAGTTTCTCTGCTCTGCTTACCAACCATTAAAGAAGCCGGCGTGGCCTAATGGCTAAGGCGTCTGACTGTAAGTTGCCCAAGTGCTTAAGTTCAACTCCTGGAGATTATGCTAACTAGAAAAAATAGTCTATAAAGATTATCAGAAGATCGGGAGTTCGACCCTCCCCGTTGGCTGTGGCACTTTTTGCCATTTTTGTATCGATCAAAACCCTGGAAATCGCGAGACCATCACAATGCCCACCTCGGGTGAAGGACTGTCCTTAACTCCACGGGCATCAGAAGGTCCTCTCAATCAGGCGCGCGAGCGCGACGTGGGAGAACTAGTACGCAAATCAAGGTTATGCGATCTCCCACAAGCAAGCCATCTTGAGCAAGGACCAATGGCGTAATTAGTTTAAGTGACGTGCCCAAGAAGCTCGCATCAACTCATTTCCAAGTACAAGTGGATGATGGTAATGGGGATATTGACCTTCATTCTATCAAGTTACTCTCACAAAAGGAGAATTCTACCCATATTGTGCTGCTTCATGGTTGACCAAGTCGCTTCTTGTAGTTGGAGCTCCTTCAGAAAAAGTATGACTCTGCTTCGTTGCCTTATCATGTTGTTGTACCCCCACCTCCGGGTATATGCTTTCGAGGCCAGGCCGGACATCCGTGTGAGCATGCATCATCTCAGACGTTACCTTGAAGGGATATTCGAATTGGGGCTGGAACCCAGCAAGGACATTCGCCCTAAACCAAGGAACGTAAACATCCCTCGCCCATCTAGCCAACTCCCGTATCCCAGCGACAACAGCATACGTATCCAGAATGCTCTGCGTCGTGCCGAACTGTCTCTCCGTCCAAAGAACAGTCTTGTCACCCTCCAACGTCGAAAACACAAAGAGCCAGCGATGGCCTTGCACGATGATCCCCGGTATAAACCCCAATTGCTCCAAAACCTCGTTCGCTTTTTGATTCCGCAGTATTTCGTCTTCTGCTGTCACAGGTTCTGGTGTAAGGCCAATAACGGAGCGGAGGAAAGCCCACTGCGCGGCATGCCAAACTCCCATCTGGAGCTGCGCGGCGTCGAGTTCTTTGCCGGGACGCTTAGTCTCGATGCTCATAACTATGGGGGATAGTTGTAACGGCGCGAAGTCGGTGTGGTTTACGGTCAGCGTTGGTGTTCGACGGCCGAGGGCTTGGAGGGCGGGGGAATCGGTGGGATTGAGGTAGAGACAGAAGTCGACCATTTTGGCAGTCGAGGAGTAGGGTAAGAAGCGACGATGCGGGCGGGCGGTGGTGCTAGCAAGCAATTAGCTGGAAGACAGGTGATGCAGAGGTTGGAAAGCTTACCAGGAAGTAAAGTTGATAGACTCGGCGGTTGAAGCGTCGGGTTGCCTTAGTATAGCCTGTAGAAGACGATGATGCACTTCCATATTCCAAGCCGCCTCTTCATGATTCGTGTCATGACAGTGACGCGCAAAATTGCAGATTTGAGCTATTTCCTCTGGGAGAGGAACTCGTCCCGGCAACGTATCGTCACCCTCTTTGAATGCAAACCTCCACAAGCGCGTATTCTGTTCCCTTACAAATGGACTCTCCAGAATAGCACTCTTCTTGCCAGCAGGCAATATCTCAATCCTACTCCCGATTTCCTGAATTGTATCAAGAAGACTGGAGATGACCGGGGGCGCGGTGTCAACATTTAATTGTCTGCACTCAAGCCCTCTTTCTTCCAGCCTCAGCCTGAGCATTTGTTTCTTCGGCGAACTCGATCGTGATCCCTCACCCGATTCAGACCATGAAGCGGACGAACCGGTTGATGAAGGAGGAGGGAGGTTTGCAGCGCGCGGTGTACGATCTGGATCGACGAGGCGACGACGCTTTGGAGTTGTTCCCTCCATTGAATCTGAAGTAGGCGGACTAGGCAGCGCTGCCTTTCGCTTGGAGGTCTTGGAGAGGGCTTCGGATGACAGGTATTCGTCGGGGAGGGAGTCGAGCCAAGATGCTACACGCCGCTCAAGCATGGTTGGCGTTGGTGAAGTGATTTTGACATTATTCGATGATGGATTTGTTTGATGGGCATTTTTGGAGATCGATGCTTGAAGCTGGAGCTGATGTCACAGAGGGGTTGGCGCGACAACAGCCCCACTGTATTGGATTTGCTGCGATGTTGATTTTATGCTTGATCATTAAAAGCCGTTAAGTTTTTGAGAAGTCCAAGACCTTAGAAGACAGATATTATACATAACAGCGCTTGTCTCTATAAATTGACTAGGAATTTGAGTGAAGCCCATCTGAAGAGACCGCGTTGAAGGATAAAAGTCACTGCCGATCACGGCGAGCCAAGAACCCGGAGCCGACTGCGCGGAGCTGTGATCTTGGCAGAACTGACAGAGTTTGGTCTAAATTAAATTAAAGTCTATCTAATTATGTATATGTCAATTGTTTTCGACATGCAATGGATCTATTGATATTTATTTCCGCCAACAAGCATTCTACGCGGTTCACCACATCATCCGACATCGCCCTTAGGCTATGGTCTGGTCGGATGACTGCATCCGCTCATCCGATCCTCAATCTACGAGAATCAGAAAACAGCAACAATTGCACGAATAAAGCCTTATAAACATATCTCTTCGTATTGGGTATCATTAACTAACTATCTCACCATCCGTACTTTCCAACATTGCTCCTCAAACATTCTCTAAATACCGTATGGTACATTTCGACGTATCAGGTGACGACCTCGCAGGCATATGCACACCCGCCGAAGACGGTAGGCTCTGTAGATCGTAAAAGTCAAAGTCCCCTGGATTTGTAGCGTTCGATGGTGATCGCTCGGGTCGGTCGTCGTGCTGTCGTTTCATGTCTTTGACAAGAGCGTAGAAGAAGGGGGTGTTGGAGACGATGCATGCGCAGAGAATCTCAATTGAAGCCCACTACCACGCGTCAATAAAAGCAGAGTACCAGAACGGAGGGATGATTACCATTGATCGGGATCGTTGAGACACGGATTCGTTGAGGATGAGAGGGAGGCGGAGGATCGTAATGGCTACCAGGACAGCGCCGACGCTGAACAAGAAGCCAAGCTGTAGTTTCTCCTTAATATCGAGTCGGAGATGTCGAAGCATCGGAAACGGGAGAATTATGAGCGCAATGTTTATTATTATGTTGCAAACCGCCATTAGTATCAGGTTGCCGACGGCGCGATTGCATGCGACTTCTGTGGTGATGTTAGCTGACATGAGGTGGCGAAAACTTTTCGTCGCTGCTTACTCGTATCATCGTAATTAAGCGCCCACATTCTGTCATCTAGTTAGCAATGCCCGGGGACAGTCTTTAGGTGAACGTACAGTGATAGAGGGCGACATTCGGCGAGAATTGTTATAAACACAGCGATGAACGTGGCGATGATGAACCACCAGAGTGCATCCGTGACGGGTTTGCCCCAGCGGAAGACATCGATGAAGCGTGAATAAAAGGCCAGCAGCCCCAACTTCAAACACCACAAACTACCCAAATCAGCAAATTTCCTCTCAAGCGTAACGGTCCACGTACAACATGGCGTAGAATATCCGCGCAGGTATGAGAAGCTTATGCGAAAGCTCTCTATCCCCATCAATACTCTCCACGCTCTCCCCCCAAGTCTGCGCCTCCGCCTGCGTCGCAGGATCGTACGTATGGTCCGGATTCAGTGTGAACGAGAGGAGTATACACACAGCGCGCCCGACGAGCGGTATTATCGCGATGGTCATGTAGAAGTCGTCGATGCGCCATCGTCGGTGGCATGTTCTGTGGATGTGGCAGCGGAATATGAGGCGGTACAGACACCTAGCTACGATGAGGGCGACGCATATAGCAGTCGATGCTAACGTGAGGGCTGCGTCCGAGGACGATGCCATGCCTGCTCATGGTGTTGTTACACTGGAGATCATGTCATGTCATTGTTGGAAAAGAGAGGGAGATTGTGGAGGAGGGCGAGATGGATGGATGGATGGGGTTGGGGGAGGCGAATTGCCGGGTTGCGGGGAACGGGTCGTTACCCAAGGGAAAGGATCTGGGGATCATTCAAATCCCTCGTCAGTGGGCGCTTCGGTTACGGGGTGTGATGTTGAAGGATTCAGACTAGGGCTGTTGAGCTAACGACTGAGCTATCGTTCAACGGGCATCGTTGCGCCCACTTCAAAGCGCACAAGTCAACCTGAGTAATGTTTCTCTCTCTGTGAGAAAGCTTCATTTCGTCACTCTGATCGTTGTGCAAACGGTCGGCGATCCTTGCATTTTTGACATGCAGGGGACCTTGCACTGTCTCAGATGAAGGACAAGACTTTTAATTGATGGTGATTTGTTTCTGCGGCGTAGTAGCAGCGTTGCATTTTCTAATTAACGGTTTTTCTCGAAAACTGGGAACGGCAAACTCTAAAATGGCACTGTTGCTTACAGGGCGCGCGCTTCAATCTGGACCGTTTCATCCCCGTTGAAAGCTCATTTCGGTGAATTGGTGACTGGTCTCTGCCGCTTTGACTTTCAGCGCACCGTTCCGAGCGGAAGTCAAAGTGTTGTACAGCGACGATCACAGCAACGGTTGGCGATAAACGAATGTCACGCGTCCAGAAGTGCACGCACAGACTGTCGCTTCGAGACTCGTGATGTCGGTCCGCAAGTTGGTTTAGCGTCGGCTAACTACTGAGCTGAGGAATGGTGGCCTTTTAGTTCATTGACCGCCTCAAGCTCACCCCGCATTTCAATCCTTAAGTATGGCTTGTGACGGAATGCTGGCGTTGCATTATAGATTCGATCTGATAAATAATTCATTTTCACAAAGAGAACAACGTTTGTTTCCTCTGTAAATAACGGAGCTATTGGTGACTACCCTGTAGCGTAGCATTGTTGCTTAATCATCACAGTAATCACAGATTCACAGTCGTTGGGCAGCAACTCGTCATTTGACTGCCAGCCTTGCGCAAACATGTGCAACTCCTCATAGGAAACAGACGATGATATAAGTGGCCTGAGCCTCTCTGAGTGTATTGATGCGCCAGTATCTCGTAGCGGCTGTCATACGCACATAATGTCTGATGATACATCTCGTCCACCGCCGGCGCCTCCGCTGCCGCCTGCTCTCCCGAAGAAACAGTCCAAAGCATCTTCCTTTAAGCCGAGAGTGAGAAGAGACCCAGAAGACTGGT